AACCTGCATAATGGCAAAGAAAAATATGTTTTTATATTACATAATTACAGCAACAACGACACAGCAGCAGTAAGCTGGGAAACGGGCACAAACAGTTACCGGCTGGTGCCGTGCTATATGCCATACGAGCAAGAGCTGGTGCCACCTCTGATGGTAAAAGAGGTGGTACGGGATAGCGAGGCATCCAAGTGCATGACGATACTTGGATGCGACTCAAACACGCATCACACAATCTGGGGCAGCACAGATGTCAATGACAAAGGTGAGTGTCTCTTTAATTACCTACTAGGCACTAAGTTACTGGTGTATAATAAGGGAAGCACGCCAACATTTATTACAAGAAACCAACAAGAAGTGCTGGATATCACACTTGTGTCGAAAGAACTAATTGACAGGGTAACCCAATCTAGGGTTCTCGAAGAACATTCCTTTTCGGATCACCGATATATTGAATGTACAATAGAGGAAAGGGCTGATAGAGGCATTAACTTTAGGAATCATAGGAAAACGAACTGGCAGGTGCACATGCAAGAACTGGAAAAACGTATCCCTATGATTCTACCGTTTCAGCCCAATAGCAAGGAGGATCTAGATATCCTCGTTAATCGACTCACGGAATCGTGCCGGCAAGCAATATAAGTGGCTTGTCCAATAACACGAAGTAGAGGTAGAATTAGGCCCCCCTGGTGATCTCTAGAACTTAAAAAGCTACAGAAAGAATGCAGAAAGCAGTTCAATTTAGCTAAGCATTCCCAAGGCAAGTCAGACTGGGATTATTATTACAACCTCCTTAGGTCATACAAAAAGGAAGTTAGGAGGGCAAAAAGAAATTCATGGAAATCTTTTTGTAATGATATCGAGAACACGGCGGAAGCGTCTCGACTTAGGAAAATAATGGCACAATCGGTGCATAGTATCGGTTATCTTCAGAAGCCAGACCGAAGTTGGACAGTATCCAGTGAACAGTCCCTGGGGCTACTAATGGATACCCACTTCCCAGGCAGCTCTGAAAGCCATACTGCTGAATATACTCAAGACAATGGAGCAGAAATGGACTCCACTCTTATAAACATAGTGTCAGAAAGCAACGTACGCTGGGCAATAAATAGCTTTAAGCCCTTCAAGTCGCCGGGATCAGATGGTCTATTCCCGGCTCAATTGCAGCAGTCGCAGAATTACATAATGAATTGGCTAATTGCCATTCTTAAAGGGGCGCTGCAATTAAACTATACCCCTTCGGGAAGTCAAGGTAATATACATACCAAAGGCAGGCAAAAGCTCGCATACAAGTCCAAAGGACTTCAGGCCAATTAGCCTCTCCTCATTCCTTCTAAAAACGCTGGAAAGACTAATAGAATTACATATAAGAAACAAACTGAAACCAGAAAAGTTGGCTGGTTCGCAGCACAAGGTCTAAAGGAAAATCCACAGAAACAGCACTAAGCTCTGTGGTGGCGGAGATTGAAAAATCTCTGGAAGTTAAATAATACACTCTATTTGCCTTCTTAGATATAGAAGGAGCCTTCAATAATATCCAGCCTAGGGCCATACTGAGTGCGCTTAAGGATCTGAACCTCTCAGAAAATTAATTGAACAGATGCTCACGAGCAGGTCAATAATTTCAACGCTGGGAGCGTCAACGATGTGCAGATCTGTCCAAAGAGGTACACCTCAAGGGGGCGTGTTATCCCCACTTCTCTGGGTCCTGACAATAAGTAAGTTGCTGTTGGATCTAGAAAAGAAAGGGGTACATGTTGTGGCCTACGCTGACGATGTGGCAGTATCAGTTAGAGGCAAATTCTTGAATACTCTCGCAAACCTTATGCAAACGATCTTGGACGATATAAATCGTTGGGCTGTATCGTGCGGATTAAACTTAAATGCTGGTAAGACAGAGCTAGTATTGTCCACCAGAAAACATAATGCTCCAGATGTTACGGCGCCATTAATAAATGGTTGCAGACTAACAATTGGAGATAAGGCATGCTACCTGGGGCTAATCTTAGACAGGAAGCTTTAATGGAAACAAAACTTGGATGTGAAGAAGGCAGCCAGAGCACTCTACACCTGTAAAAGGATGATGGGCCCCAAATCGGGGCTAACGTCTCGGCTAACCTACTGGCTCTAAACAGCAGTTGTCAGACCAATCATGACATACGATTTATTGGTATGGTGGCCAATAATGGAAAAGAAATACGCGGTAAAGCGTATGGAAAGTATACAAAGAGCAGCCAGTATATGCATTAGTAGAGCTCGTAGAACAACGCCAAGCCAGGCTCTAAACGTCATTCTACATATACTGCCAACAGACCTGTTCTGTAAGCAAGTGGCAGCAGAGTCAGCTCTTAGACTGAGGGAATCCTCCCAACTAGTCGCATGCAACAATGGGCATTCTAGGATACTCAGTATATTCCCGTTCCTACCCAAAACCACGGATTTCCGCAATCCAATAGAACTGAAACTAAATTCGGTCCACAATACTGCCTTCCCCACAATGGAGGAGTGGAAAAGGGACGAGGTGGACAGGAATACAGGAATTAGCATCTACACGGATGGATCCAAACTGGATAATCGAGTGGGAGTTGGTGTCTTTTGCGTAACATTAGACACCAACATCGCCTTCCGTTTACCAGACCACTGGAGTGTCTTCCGGCGGAGATCACAGAAATTAAAGAAAGCCTTGTGGTATTGACAAAACGTGTGCTCCCAACAAGGAGCATATATATATATATACGGATAGCCAAGCGGCCTTGAAATCACTCAAGTCTCCAATGGTCTCAGCTAGTGAAAGAATGTCTTGACCTATTAGAGGATCTGACATCCTACTTCACAATAAACCTGCAATGGGTTCCAGGACATAGTGATATCCCTGGTAACTGCGAGGCAGATGAACTAGCCAGAACAGGCACCACTTTGCAACTAACCCCTGAAAAAGAGGGTATTTTTATGCCTCTTGCAACTTGCAAACACTTAATCAGCGAACATGCTATAAATATAGCAGTCTCGGTGGAGACAATCAATAACCTGCTCAACCAGCAGACTAACGTGGCAGGAATGGAGCCTGAGTCGCACAAACCGACTACTAAAATTTAAAAGGAATGATATAAGAACTCTGATAGGAGTACTAACAGGTCGCTGTCTAATTGGTAGACTTGCCAGTAGGCTAGGTGTGCCATACAACGACTATTGTAGAAGCTGTCAAGAAGTAGAAGAAGAGGAGACTGTAAAGCATCTTCTATGCGAATGTAAAGCTCTATACAGGAAAATAATCGCAACTATCAGTCCTTGACGTCGTATCAGAAGTTGCTAATATAAAATTATTTGTACTGATGAACTTCATCAGGAGCACAGGTTGGTTCAGAGAGGAGACGATAGAGGCAGGGAACATTAGTCCCGGTGGTATCACAATGGCTTCCTTTTGGCCTAGGTCCGTCGTTAGACAGCCACTCTACCTACCTACCTACCTGGACAAGTACAAAATTTTCCGAAATATTTGGCATAAAGCGTGCTAGCAGAACGAAAATTATATGTAGTATATCGAAGATAAGGTAATAAGTGTACCGATATTGGACGATTTGACTAGCACTAAACTTCATTTCGCTAGGGGTAGTAGTGACCCGATTTTGACCGTTTGTGGCATCACGGCATATTATTACCGGAAAAAGATGGTATCTGAACCTCAATAATATATATCACAAATTAGACAATAGACACTGAGGTCTACATATTCGGTATATGGTGGCTTGAGAATTTATGGTCCGATTCGACGATTTCTAAATGCGTGGTGAGCTTTTTTGCACAATATAAGTTTCACTCCGATATCGTCATTGGTACTTCACTTACATGTCTACTGACTAAATGACAGCACTAAATTACGGTTTCATATCTTATTTTGTGACTATAGCACTGCATAGTTTTTCGATTAACGGAATTTTGTGGGAATGATAATGGTCTGATTCATCTGCACTACTAAGCTTCTTATGACACCAAGAAAAACGTGAACCAAGTTCCATCAAGATATATTAATTTTTACTCAAGTTATCATATGCACGAGAAACTTGACGGACGGTGGGACAGATATTCACCCAGAATTCAACTCGTCTCGTCATTCTGATCATTTCATATACATAGGGTTTTCCAATAAGAGTGATATGAAACACTAATTGTTAAGGAAATTCAAAGGTTTTTCATTTAATGTGTAGTACTATCGACACAATTAAGTTCTGAATATAACACGACTTCTTTTGCAGGAACAAAGTCGATGAATCCAATATTCGAGTACTTTTTCAATTAAATCAAGTCTTATGTCATGAATAGCTAGTTCAATAATAACCCCACAAGAATTAGTCTTATGGTGTTAAATCACAACGACTCTATTCAAAGTCACAATTTCATGAAAGTATCGAATCTCCCGAATTTTCTCGCAATAATTCGGTTATTGCATGTGCTGTGTGGCACGTAGCCCCGTCTTGTTTGAACCAGATGTTGTCAAGATCAACTTCTTCCAATTGCGGCTATACAAAGTTGGTTATCATCGATTTATACCGCTCTCCATTAACAGTAACAGTGTCACCAGCTTCATTTCGAAAGAACTACGGATCGATAATTCCGCCAGACCAAAAACCACACCAAACTGTCAATTTAGGTGAATGTAATGATTGTTCATGAATAATTTGTGAATTTTCTTCCAACCAGAATCGACAGTTTTGTTTATTTACCGCTGGAATGAAAGCAAGCTGATTTTCTTAAAAAAATTGCAATTGAAGAACGATTATTTAGATATTAGTATTGAATAATTATCCCTATTGGAACACCCGATATAACTCTATATCGATCTCCATTCATTTAAAATGTTACAAAAAAACCATTAGGTGAACAAAACTATAATACTCGGTTGCAACATATTGCAAGAATATAAAAATTTTATCGATATTGAATAGATCTGTATATCGCATATTTATTTCCGTAAATATTAATTAGCATATAGAAGATAGACTTACTTGATGACACTCGACCGGTACGTAAACAAACATCTTGTATTGAAATATTGTTTCCAAGCTTTGCATCGTCGGAGTAAATCATTTCGATAGAAAAAGAAACAATTTTTTTATGAAAAAATGTAATTATCTTCCTTGCTCTCGTTTGATAGTTAAACAGCCAATTCGGGAATAATTCGCTGTAAACATTAACAACAGCATGTTGATATATTTAGAAAATAGTTTATGTTTCATGTACGCTATATAAATTTTAAAAAATTAATTTTTACCTGATCATCTTATTCAGATTCTTAAAAGAAATGTCAGTTCTTATTGCTTCCAACTGTAGTTCACTGAGCTGTTTCTCTATTCTGAAAATGTATACATTTAAACATATTAAAGATAATATTTTGTCATACATCCTTACTTTTTAAATTCGTAATTATCTTTATTTAGGATTTCATTAAAAGAAGACGAAGTTTTTTCATAATCTGAGTCAAAGCTTAAGCCCGATAAATTTGAACCATTTCTTTCCAACGACCTTCTCCGCCAATAATCATGGACATTCCTCAATTTTGGAAGATTACGGAGTCTCATTAAATTGTCCAATCCAAGGGAAGGTGACAGAGACAGTGGTGGCAATGCAAATGACTCACTAGTGATTGACATACTTCCAGAAGAAAACGATTCCTGGCTATGTTTGCATCGACGACAAGTTATTATGTTATTTTTATTCCGAACTGTATTTACTGGAGTATCCTTTTCTTTTAGTAATAGAGAACATGTTTCTACAGGAATATGTCGATTAGTGACACAGTTATGCTCTACCACCAATTCTTCAATTGATTGGATATCGGAGCGTTCATTCTCTTCGTCATCTCCAGCATTTTCAGAAGCGAACGTTTCAACGAGGCTTAAACGTGTTTTTTCAATATCGTCAATTTCGGGAATACATAGAGGAGAATTTTCCCGCTCTAAGTTTATGAATTGTTTATTAAAAACGTCTGTTTTGTTTGAGTCTGTTAAGTATCCATTTCTAATGTCATCTTCAAGTCCATTAATAATAGATGACTTCCGTTGTGTTAAATAATGAACAGATACATCAGATATAGTTATTGGATTGTCTTCACATATGTATTCAACGTTCTTAAAATTTTCATTCTCAATTACAAGGTTATCTGATGTTGCGGACACAAATGGAAGTTTCAAAATTGCATTCCGGCTCTCAAGTTTTGTTACATACATCATTGTAGAATTACCTCCTGTGCTTAGAACTGGCGAATTTAATGAAATAGATTTTCGCTCTTTTACATTGCAATTGGAGGTAATAGGAATACGATACTGAAAGATATTCATACTTGGACTCGTTTCATTCCGTACTTTACGACATTCAGAAGCTTCAACTTTCATTTGTGTGTGTCCTATAGTATCTTCCTCTATTGCGATATCATCAAAAGATGTATTACAATTGGTGTGCTTATCAGTTTTTCTAAATAAAAATAAAAAAAATCCTTCTTTAATAGTAGTAATTGTATATACAGTGAGCGAACAAATTTTACGTACACAATTTCCTTAAACATTCATGGTCTGAAAATCCAACTAAAGCAAACCGTAATTGCAAAACTTTTTCATACAGTGTTAATGATACAATTAAGATTTAATATTTGACTTAGTAACGCCCTTTACTTCTTCCAGGTCAAGTTGGAGTAGAATTTCAATTTTATGTCCAACGTGAAAGGGTAAAGTCAAAATGGGTCGTGGTCGTGAAATTATATTTGAAACTCTGAAAATTATCTTAGACTTATTTTTAAAGGGGAATGAGCACGTGCTATTAGCTGAATTATTAACAAATCGCCAACGAGTGTGCATATAATAATTCAAACATATGAAAACCACGTTCCGGTCAGGAAGTATTACGCAGCTCAGGGCGTGCATCCACAAACGATTCAAAATGTGATCCACAAAAATCGATGCAATGCACGAACAGCAAAAAACCTTTAACTTCTCTGGGGAATCGAGAAAAGACGCTTTCATTAGCAAAAAATACGTTGATAAACCTAACTCGTTTTGAGATAACGTGGTATGAAGTGACGAATTAAAATTCATTACTTTTGATTCGGATGGCGTTCAGAAAGTATGAAGAAACCCCAAATTCAGGGGAGCCATTTTTTACACATTAAGAAATTATTATATACTAGACTACTGGACAAGTGCACTTGATATCACCGCAGCAACGAATGACCTATTGCATTAAAAATGTTTATAATCATTAATAGCAATGTAAGTGGTAAGTTTGAATAGTAATGCAGGCAAAAGACACAAACAAACATCACTTGTTCGGTTCCCTTTGATGAACGAGCTAAACAATATTGTCTTACCTCTGGTGGGGGACTAAAATTGATACACACGTCATTGAGTGAGAACTATTTCATTATACCCTGAACAGGGTATATTAAGTTTGCCACGAAGTTTGTAACACTAAGAAGGAAACGTCGGAGACCCTACAAAATATATACATAAATGATCCGTCCGTCCGTCTGTATATGTTCAAACTAGTCCCTCAGTTTTCAAGCTATCGATCTGAAATTTTGCTCCTGTCCTTTTCTCACTAAGAAGCTGCTCATTTGTCGGAACGACCGATATCGGACCACTATGGCATATAGCTTGTATGGAAAACTCTTTCATTTAACGAGGTATCTTCACGAAATTTGGCATGGAGTATTATTTAAGGAAATAAACCAATCTCCGAAGAAATTGTATAGATCGGATGATTATAGAATATGCTTGTATAGCTGCCATATAAACTGAACGATCGGAATCAAGAGGTTGTATAGAAAAATCTTTCATTTGACGAGGTATCTTCACGAATATAGGCATGAGTTAATGTTTAAGGCAACAATGTATTTTCCGTAGGCATTGTTCAGATCAAATCACTATATCATATAGGTGGCATACAAATTGAACGATCGGAATCAAGTTCTTGAAAGGAGCCTTTGTATTTGTGCAGGCTATTACAGCTTCGGTGCAACTGAAGTTAACGTTTTTTCTTGTTGGCTAGATGAGTTACGCCTCCCCCCTCCATACACGCCACTGAGCACCAACACACCACATTAACACAATCCACAAGAAGACTCCACCCACTAACACACCACGCAGACATCACACCACTCAGACCACGCACACATACACATCACATCACACCACAACTTTACACAACCCAACACTCAAAAGGGACTAACACAGGACCAGAGGCCCTGAGCCGTTCAGACGTACGCCGACCGTAGTAACTTTTCGCCCGAGTATCCAGATATTCATTGGGATTTTGTGATCTATATTTTTTTTACATTTCTTTTAATTAACATAGCGGATACCGCCGGATAACCTACATTAGATTTAAAATCTATTTTCATTTTTTGTGCTTGCACCAAACGCATTTAAAACGGTGAGTGCAAACGAGTGTAATATTCATGGTCCTTCGAGCTATAGTGAGCGGCACTATGGAGTGAAAAAAAAAAACCTATAAAAGGAAAAATGAAAAGTGCTGTGAAGTGTCTAACATTTAATATGGACAAACAAACGAAAAAAAAAACAAAGAAACAAAGATATAAGTGCTGTGCAGTGCAGTGAAATAACACATATATACAACAAAAAAAAATATATATATAAATACATATATATGCAAGTGACTGAAAAGTGCTGTGCAGTGAAGTGATATACATATACACATAGAAAACAAAACATAAAAAAAGAGTTATTTTCAACGCAAAACAAAAAAAAAAAAATAGAAGAAAGTGAGTGAAGTATGGAGTGACACAAACATATATACATAAAAGAAGCAAGAAAAAACCAATAACGTGCGCGAAATAATCCCTAATTACGTACGGGCAAGAATTTCAACAAATTACATACATAACCATACAGAACGGGCGCGAATTAAAACAAAAACCTCAACAGCAAACAACAACAACCACACCAACTCACCAAAGTTATCCACCGCAGCTAGGCAACAAAGGACTGGGCAACAGAACGAAAGGCGCACGCACAAGCACATATATTATATTTTCCCCAAAACCCCTTGGCGGACACCAAAGTGAGTCGTATCGATTCCTCTTAGTATTGTATATTTTCTAATATATGTATGTAAAAATTAATATAAAAAAAAGTTATGCTTTTGCGGTTTATTTATTACATAAATCCGTCTTAATAAAAGCAATAACAAACAAGAAAAAACGTTAACTTCGGTTGCGCAATACCCTTCACAAATACAAAGGCCCCTTACAAGAACTTGATTCCGAACGTTCAATTTGTATGGCAGCTATATGATATATGATCTGACCAATTTCTGTGGAGAATAATTTGTTGCCTTAAGCAATAACTCGTGCCTAATTTTGCAAGCACTTTACTCCGATCGTTCAGTTAATATGGCAGCTATATGCTATAGTCATCCGATCTATACAATTTCTTCGGAGATTAGATTAATGCCTTAAATAATACGACATGCCAAATTTCGTGAAGATACCTCGTCAAATGAAAGAGTTTCCTATACAAGCACTTGATTCCGATTGTTCAGTTTGTATGGCAGCTATATGCTATAGTCATCCGATCTGAATAATTTCTTCGGAAATTACATTGGTGCTTCAAATAATACTACACGCCAAATTTCATGAAGATACCTCGTCAAATGAAAGAGTTTTCCGTACAAACACTTGATTCCGAATGTTCAGTTTGTATGGCAGCTATATGCTATAGTGGTCCGATATCGGCCGTTCCGACAAATGAGCTGCTTCTTTGTTAGAAAAGGACAGGTGCAAAATTTCAGATCGATAGCATAAAAACTGAGGGACTAGTTTGTATATATACAGACAGACGGATAGACGGACAGACAGACAGACGGACATGGCTAAATCAACTCAGCTCATCATGCTGATCATTTATGTATATATTTTATAGGGTCTCCGACGTTTCCTTCTGGGTATTACAAACTTCGTGGCAAACTTAATATACCCTGTTCAGGGTATAAAAAGAACGGTTACTAAACTGTTTCAATATTTCGGTTTATTTTCCGGTAAAAACTGAAATACCGCTAAAAGATAAAACAGTTTGGTAAAAAATATATATCCAAATATATTATATAACGAACTCTTGGTTGCCTAATTGTTTACCGTTGTGTTCAAACACACAAAAATATCTCTACAACAAAATAATTCAAGTATTTACTTACACCTATTTCCAGCACTACCCCTTATACTTTATCAAGTATAAGAAGGATTGCGTAAAATAAGCAAAGGCAAATCAAAAGCAAAGAAAAAAAAGAGCGAAAATTTACAAAATAAATGTAAACATACATACAGCCAATCCAATTTATGATACATATAATACATATACATATTATATTTAACATATATAAATATATACATACTATATTAGGAGAAAACCTCCGTTTGCAGTATTAATATAGGTATGAAATCATACAAATATACATATATTACTAATAGTTGCTATAGATACATATATACATAAATTTTACGAGAATACCTTTGGTAAGTTATTCTCCTTTTCGCACTCCGTACATATTCCGCCCAAATACACTGGGTCACAGCTTATTTGATACAGCAGCCGATATAAATTTCGAATCGCAATATTTTCTAAATTGAAAGGAATCTTGAAAAAATTTAAACGATATATTATAGAGTAAAGAATTTCATATAAATATATAATGTACTTCATTTATTTAAAAAATATTTTATTTTTAAATATATGTATATATAATAAAATTAAAATTACTGCTAAATTTCAGGTCACAGCTTATTTGATACAGTTCAATTCATTCTAAAATAACATAAACAAATCACTTTCAATCTTAAATTCTTAATATTTTGTGTGAAAGCATTTCGCCTTAACCTGGATCCTGGTTGGCATTGATTGGACCAACTTTTGTGTGGTTTTTAGGGTAATTTTCTGCCATTCCTCTAGTAGCGTCTTTTTCAATTCCTCTCTGTTCGAAATTTGTGGCTTTGAATGTTTTGTCTAATAAAGCCCACAAATTTTCAATAACATTCATATCAGGTGACTGTGCCGGGGGTGTCATCAAATGGAGCCAATTCCATATGAGCCACGATTGAACGACTGCTGCTTTGTGTTTTGGGTCGTTATCTTGATAAAAGCAGACTTTTTCTTTATACCAAGATTCTCGGCACTTTGAAGCAAATTACTTCTCAGGATATTAAGGTACATATTTTTGTCCATTGTCCCTTCAATAAACTCCAAATTTCCAACACCGGCTGCGGAAATACAACCCCAAACCATCACACTTCCACCGCCATGTTTCACTGTAGCTCTCAAGTTCAGCTTATTTAGCTCTCTAATCTTTTTTCGCCAAACGTAAGACATGCCGTCGGACCCAAAAATATTGAATTTTGACTCGTCTGAAAATATAACCGTGTTCAAAAATCATGGGTCTTACAAATATGTTCATGAGCGAACTTTAGT